CACCTCACTTAGTTCCTGGTACCAATTGCGGTGGTTGAGGACTATCTCTAGATTGGAATGTTACAAGGAAAGAAAAGTCATAGGAGAAATTTAGCAAATAATTTTGATCTTGAAAGTATATATCCAGGTAAATAAAAGAAAAATACAAGCATTTTATACTCATTCTCAACCTTTCAGTGCATCACATAAAAGGGGAAGACCTAGAGCCTAAAACTATACAGTTGGGCGAGGATGAATTATATGCTTAATAATGTGCCTTTTCCTCTTCTGTCCTCTTTGAAGAACAATGTAATGACAAATAGCTTTGTATCACTAGCAACCTCAGTTTGCATCTGTTGTATTATTAGAATGTAAGTAGCTGTTACCAGATCTTATTCAAATTATGAATTGAGAACAAATGAGAAAGTAATTCTTGTTTTTTAAATAACTCACCACAGATTACTTCTGAGGGAGGGCCACAGCCTCAGTTCAACATAATCTTTTCCATCCATGATCCCAGCATTGCTTCCGTAAACAACAGTGGCTTTATAATTGGCAAAGCCGTGGGCAACAGTACCATACTGGGAATGGTCCAAGCAGTTCACGCAGAAGCTGGCAAGGTTGTGGTTGCATCCCAGGTAACATCTTAATACATGCACATGTAGCAAGGACTACCAGCACTGTATATCACTAGGTCTGGTTTTTCTTATGCAGTCTGTTTTATATTAGACGACATATTATTTGTTTTACCAGTTTCTGAATGTCACTTACGACTTTTTATGCTAAGTCTCTAAAAGCATAAAACCATAATGAATTGTACCAAACCAGTAAATATGTTCCAGGAGCATAGACAAGGGACACTCTAATTTTTAATTTTGTTTTTCCTTTTTCCTCTTTTTTAACTACTTTGTAATTTGTTATGAGAACTTTGATTATTGGGATATAGCACTATTATTAGCAATATGATAAATAATTACTTCTCATAGATTTTATATTTTAACAGTGCAACATGCTGCAGTTCATGAAAATAATGTTTAGTGAGTTGCAATTTTTACTCATTTTATTTAAACAGCAATCCTACCCTTATGTCAATATTTATTCCCTTTCCAAAATGAAGTGTGGATGAGTAAATCCATGACCTTGGCAATTCTCTCCCCACTTCCTCTCACATACATCAAATTAAAGATCTATTTTCAACCACTTCTTTATCTGTACTTGTTTTGTCCATAAATATTGTTTACTATTATTTCTGCTAAATACAAATGGAAAACTCTAAACAAGTCTGTGTTCATGAATCCGTTATCCAGTTTTAAATATACTTTTCAAATAAATCTTCTATTTATGTATTGCTTTGCTTGGCTAGATTTTGATGAGCAAAGATTTCATATACTCACATGGCTATGATCTGTCATTTGGTTTTTATAGCACCCTGATTTATATATCACATCTGAAATTTCATCCATTATGTGTTGTTATCTCACTTAGGCTTTAAGTCTTTTACTGTTTTTCTAATTCAGTGCAGGAATGAGCTATAAAAAAATTAAAAGTTAGACTGAAACTGCTAATCCCATCTAATCAAACTCCACCCTTTAGATTAACAATACAAGGTGTTTCTACTTTAATATCAAAAAGGAAATTATAATTCCCAAGATCCCAGAGGGAAAAAAATGGCACTTACCTATCTATATCAGGCATCTCTGTAGCTTAGAATAAATCATTTGATTCTCTTGGTTGTTCTTTTCATGCTTTTATGTTATATAATTTGGGTTTAATTGATTGGTTGATTTTAGCCATACATTCACTTTTTGTAATTTTGAATTTTTGTGAGTTATCGTAGTTGCCATATATTGACACTGTAAAGCTAGCTGGAGTGGCTTTGAATAAATAATTAATGCTGTTTCTAATGTTTAGATTCAGATGGTGAATGGCAACAAATATGAAAGAAAATGCACACATACAGCACAGTTAATTGAATTGGTATACTTGCTTATGTTCCCTTTAGGATAAAGTTGAAGTTGAGGTAATCCAGCTTGAAGCTGTCAGAATCCATGCACCCATTACTCGAATGAAAACTGGAACTCAGGTAAATCAAAGTATAACATTATTTCCACTGTGGCAGCAGCTGCAATAGTCAAATATGATTGGCCCTCAATGTAGCACTTTAATACTCACTTAATTTTAATCTTTTCCTTTAAAAAAAAAATGTCCTTGAAGAGGAGAAAAGTTTTCCTTAGTCATTGTTTCTTTTTTTCCAGATGCCAGTATATGTGATGGGGATTGCTAGCAATCAGACACCTTTTTCATTTGGAAATGCAGTGCCAGGCTTAAGATTTTATTGGTCTGTCACTACGAGGGATATCTTGGATGTCAAGTCAAAATTCAGTGAGGTAAATGCTAATTCCATATTATGATTTAATTTTTTACAACTTTGCTGGAATTAGTGTTTCATACAGTGTGATTTGGGGCAAAATTGTCTTCTTCAGCATTGGATATATAAAATATTGTATCTGCTTTGATATAAAATAGGTGGTCTTCCCCACCTTGGCATCTTAAGGCATTGAAACTGCCATCCACAAAAATATAACAGAAAGGAGAAATCTGGGGATAATATCTCCAGATAACCCTAAGAGTTGCTGTAATAAGGATTTTCCTACATTAGCAGGAAGCTCCTTTCTATTCTGTGATTCTTATATGTGCATCCTGGGGTGGTTTCTAATAAATCTCTTTTGTCAGACCATAAAACATTGGAAGCAGTGGTGAGATTCAAACTTTTTTACAACCGGTTCTGTGGGCCTGGCTTTGTGGGCGTGGCAGGGAAAGGATACTGTAAAATCTCCAGTCAGAGGTGATATTTGCCGGTTCTCTGAACTACTCAAAATTTCTGCAACTGGTTCTCCAGTACTGGTCAGAACCTGCTGAATACCACCTCTGATTGGAAGGCTAATATTTTTTTTAATAGAAAGGGAGAGCATCAGCCCTGAGATAATGAATAAAATTCCACCACTGCCTTAATTAACACTTGTTTTTCCTTTCAGGCTTCCCTTCAGCTTTCGGTGGAAAATAATTTTGCAGTAGATGTTTATGGAAAAGGGAAAGGGAAAACGGGGCTGAAGGTTATTGTGAAAGTCCTTGATCCTTCAGCTGGACAGTTCTCATACATGGCCAAAGAATTGACAGATGAAATTCAAATACAGGTAATCCACTGGGCATTCTGTTGTTGAATGATCCGTAGCCCTTTATAGAAAGCTGCTAAAATCAGTCTAAAAAAAGAGACTATGTGCTGTACCACAAACGAAGGACTGAATGATTTTGCACAATCACAGGAAGAAAACGTGCACATTGGGATTGCTCATCAAATCAGTACCGATAGTCCTCAACCTACCACCAAAATTTCCAGTGCTAAGTCACATGGCTGTTAACTGAGTTTTGCCCCATTTGCAGCATTTTTTTGCCAAGGTAATTGAGCAAATCGCTGCAGTTGTTAAGTGAAACGTACAGTTATTAAGCTTCCCTCATTCACTTTGCTTGTTGGAAGCTGATTGGGAAAGTCAAATGGTGATCTCTTGACCCCAGGACAGGGCAGCTCTCATAAATATATGCCTGTTGCCAAGCACCTGAATTTGGATCACGTGACCATGGGGATGCTGTAATGTTCACATGAAAAATAGGCATAAGTCAGTTTTTTTCAGTGTTGTTGTAACTTTGGTCACTAAATGAATGGTTGTAAGTCAAGGACTACCTGCACTGCTATGAGAATCCAAAACTTTTTGTTTGTTTCAACGAGAAACTGAAAAGCATATCTAACATCTAATCTAATATCAAAAGCCAGAAGAGCTATACATCTAGAAACAGTTAGCTGTCTTGGCTTTCTCAGATTAGAAAAAATACAAATAAAATTAAGTAAAAAATGCAATTTTAAAAATTGAATGCAAATTTCAAAATTTACTTCTTTTGGTACTGAATTTCTTGTTTCTTTTGATATAGGGTAGACAGAGAAGAGTATAATCATTCTGTATCAGAACAATGCTACAAAATTCATGTTTCAGAGATTCACAATTAATGTAACAATATCAGCAATAACTTTCCAATTTTAAAATAAACTGTATCTATTGTGAGCTCAGTTTAGAAAATAGTCAAATTATACTTAGAAGAGTTACTGTAATGTAATTTCACTGATTTAATTGAATCTAATTAGAAGCAATTGTGTTTAGGATTACCCTAAAATAAGTGAATGGCATTTTCTGAGCTAAAGAACTTGAATAATTAAAGTTGGCTATAAAGATTAAATATATTCTGAATAATTTCTTTCAACTGAACAATTAGTGCACATTATCACAGCATTGAATCACATGCATGTGAATTATCTAGATGGAATAATGTTTCTCTTGGATACATAGTAACTAGCAGTTTCTTGAAGTACAGTAGTTACTTTAGGAAGGGGTATGGAACAGAATAGTTTGAGGTCTTAAATATGCTCAAAAGTTCAAATAGAATTATTTTAAAGAATACACTTTTTATATTAGGCAATTACCAATCCAATTCTTATCCCTGTAAGACAGGACACTGAATACAGAATAAAAATTGAATGTTCTTTCCTCTAATGACAGGCAGTGGGATAACCTGGACTTCTGGTACAGATCTTTGCCCAGTAATTACCTTTGTTTTTACTATGACATCACGACAAACCTGGGAATTAAGCTTAATAAATAATAAGAAACAAAATTTCCGTTTATATATGTTGATTACATACAAAATACCAAGACTGCATCTACAGTCAGAATAATAACGGCTATAGTATGTGTCAAAAACAGATACAAGTGAAAGAATTGCTGTATAAGCTTATATGTATATATGCACATAGAAATACCGCCATATTCCAACACCATTATTTGTAAGCAGGATTACAGCCTTAGAGGCTTTTATAAATAAAAATAATTAAATGTTTAAATGATATTTTATATTCTGTCTAGTGGGTACATGTGGTTTGAAAAGGACTTTATATATACTGTAACTTGGGATTTTAAAATGATGTATCTAAGTAAGATTCTGATAGCAAGAAGCATTTTTGCAATGAATAGGGTCGATACAACTGGAATATTGTTGAGTCAGATTCAATTTAGCTATTCCTATTTAATCTTCCCCAAGTACCAACCATTTGGATGGTGATTTTTCATTTTGGAAGTCTACCTTGCATAGTTCATAGTGTTATTACATTCCATTGATCAAATTTGTCTTCATACAGTATTCTGGAAGTGAAATTCCTTTAATTCATGACTTCTAGTCTATCACCTTTCATCTATGCAATTTCCAGAGTTCATTGCCAGGCAATACAAAGTCCTGATATATCTGGGAAATTCTAAGTTGGTGAATTATGCTTTAGCCCATGGTCACCAACTGGTGGGCCAAAGACCACTGGTGGGCCATGGGGAAATTTTGGTGGTCCGCAGAGAAATGTCTCCCCAAAGCAATTAATCCAGGCTGTGCAGGAACACAAGAATGTGCTGCCCACATGGCCCACCCATCCACTGGTCCCCACCCTTTGGCCAAGTGTAAATCGTACCTTGAGTAGAGCCACGTGAGCTGGAACTGGAAGGTAAGACCAATGGCGGGGGAGAGAAATCTGCCCCGGGGTGGCTTGCTGATGTTGGTGGGAAAGTCGGTTTCATATTCCAGAGCTACAGTAGTCACAAGACTGGCCCTTTGGTCATCCCAGAGCAGCTCCTCCAGTCCATGGCAGGCTGGTGTACCCAGGTGTTGGAGCAGCTGCTCTGGGATGATCAAAGGACCAGACTTGTGACTACTGCAGCTCTGGAATATGGGACTGACTTTCCCACCAACATGTTGTAGTTTGCCGGCAGCAGGTGCTGACAGCTGAGGTCTTGGGGCCTGTGTATGATGAAGGAATGGGGCCAGGACCATCAGGGAGTGGAATGCTGCCTTCAGAGTTTGTGGAGGCTGGCAGCAGTGATGAAGAGGTCCCCAAGGAGCCTGTGCCCAGTGCACAGGGCTGCTCAAAGGAAAGAGCAGCTGCAGCAGCACGGGTGACTCAGGAGTAAGGCTTCAAGGTAATGGCCCCTTCCTTAAGAGATAAAAGCCTGCTAGAAACCGGAGTTCTTTGCAGGAAACAAAGAAGTTTTTGCACTCAAGTCTTGTGGACATTCAGAGTATCTTGGTTGTGTTTGGAGACTCTTTGTGTTTGAAATATTTCTTAGTAACTTTATCTAGTGTTCTTGGCAGCTTTGCACAACCTTGGCAAGGCTTGTTCTTATCAGAGATAATTAGTTTGAAACAGCCTTTTAACCGCAAAGGAACAGAATTCATAAAGAATCATTAAAAGTTTTTGCTGTTACCTCTGTTCGTGTTTGTTTCCTTGGAACAAGGTTTGGGTCAGAACACAATGTCGTCAAGTTAAAATTCATATTAGTGGTCCATGGTATTTAAAATGATGAGTTTGGTGGTCCCTGAGGTCCAAAAGGTTGGCAACCCCTCCTTTAGACTGTTATGCATACTTTCTAGTTTATTCCCAGATTTTCTCACAATCCCCACCAGGGAATGAAATGTATCTCATTCTACTTTGCAGAGATGCACACTGTTGCTTTTCCATGCCTATGTAACATCTAAAATAAAACAAAGTAGGATCATTTTTATTGTACTGAACGTTATCTCACTATTTAGCTCAAAAGAGGTTTTATGGTATATATAATATAAGGAAACCAACAGATTCACTTAAAAATTAGTGTGCTTCTACATTTTCCCAGAATAAATATTAGGAAGTAGGCAATATGCACAAGAACACATATAGTTTTCTTTTCTTTGCCCAATACTTTTCTCAGACTATTGCCAACTCTGGTTTCCAGAACTGCTTGCTAAAGAAAAACAAAAAATATTTTTGCGAAACTTTGCAACTTATAAAATTTGGGAGGTTAATCATAGCTTAGGGAATATTTTCCTGCAATCCTAGTATATATTTTGTCTCTTATAATTCTGAATTAAATCTCTGTAGATGTGTGTGGGTGTGGGTGAGTGGGTGCGTATGTGTGTGTGTCATTTTAAAGTGCATTCCATTCTTTATTATGCAAGTATTTGAAGATAACACTAATACCTATTTATATGATAACTTATCTAATTTTTGTTTTCTAGGTGTTTGAGAAACTAGTTATCCTGGGAATAGAAGTAGAGCAGATATTAATGTCAACAAACTCCTTTTTTAAAGTTCAAACAAACAGGTAAGTAAACAAACCAATCAGCTGCTGATTAGTTACAAAAGCCTCAGCATCTAGTAGTTTTGCCCAGTTCTTCCTGCCTGGAAGAAAAATAGACCAGTGCCAAAAGAAGGGTGCCCAGGAGTAGCCATGTCTGAAGTAGACCTCATGTTCCGTCCACCTCAGAGATGGAGATGGAGAAAGGCCCTCAGATAAAGTAGCTTACAAGGAGACTTAGTAAAAAATAAATGTACTGTGTGTGTTTCAAATTATGCTTGGTAAATTCCCAAAATTTGAATCTGGTAGCACAGAAATATGTTTACTCAATGCTTTGGAGGTATATAAGAACAAGACAATGTGCTAAGAAATGGGAATGTATCTTGTATAATTACTCTTTGAATTCTAGCATTTGAGTTTCAGAGATCTACAGCCTGCCAGCTTATTTGCTTATTTTTTATTTATTTAAAAATCAAGGGATGGAGCCGCTTTTCTAACTTACCGTGTACTGGACAGTCAAGACAAGGTTCCTGTGGTAGAAATGGATGAAAGTGGTCATCTTAGTTCTCATTCTCAGATTGGACTATCAACAATAGAAATAATTTCCCAAGAATCATTTGGAATCAACCAGACCCTTGTTGTTGCTGTCAAGGTACTATGTTTCAGTTCCTTTCAATGAGAACAGAATGCTAACTTTCTTAAGGCATTTTGCTATATTTAAAATTAAAATTTCCATTACTCTAGCTCAAGAAAATAATTGAAGCTTTGAATCACTTAAACCAGATGACAAAGTACTGTTTTCATTTTATTCTCTGATATAAACTTTGTAAAAATACATAATGTGGTCGTGATGAACAGAGTTTAGAAAATATAATTGCGTGATGCTGATTGAGTGATTGATTGATTCATTCATTGATTCATTATTTGCCATGAGGTCGTGTTGGCTCTTAGCAACCAAAGTGACAGATTTTTCTCCATAATCTGTCCCTAATTTGGTCTTTCACATCTCCAAACAAACTTGATCTTTCATAAAACACTTGCAACTCCTTAACTTAAAAGTTTAGTGCAATTAATTCTGATGTTATTTTCTGTAGAGTTTGGGGAAGATAATGGCTGAAGAAAATGAAAAGCGCTTCTTGAGAAAACATCCCTAAATGGTTAAAATATGGACAAATGAAATAGTTGGACAGAATGAGGTGGCTAACTCAGTCACTTGAGTTTAAGTGTTATAAAAAGGCACCAAATAGTATAACTATTTGCATTGGTGGTGGTTGTTACCCTGTCAAAAGTCGGAAATATATTTTTGTCCTGGGTTCTAAATACATGATGAGATATATGCACATCAGTCAGAAAAAATGGACTTCCTTCAATCAGCTCACACTTCAGAGAGACACAGTTAAAATCCCAAACAATGAAGTAAGATCAAAAGCATGTTTATTAATAGGGTAGAAAGTAATCCAGACAATCATATACAATATAACTGCTTACATGTATCTTGAGCAACAGGAAAACTGATTTCACCTTCAATTTTTTACTGAACGTGTCATGCAGGTAGCTCCTATTTCCTATCTGAGAATATCCATGAACCATATTTTCCATATAAAAAATCATGAACCTTTAATAGCATTACCATTGGGCATCACTTTGAGTTTGACTATCCACTTCCATGACAATTATGGCGATACTTTCCACTCACAAAATTCCATGCTTCACTTTGCAATCAACAGGTAATTTGATTAGCATTTGATTGTCATAAATTACGGGAACATTACTAAAGCATTTCAGATTGACTATTACTTAGGGTCTATGTGAAGATGCACAGTGAAAAAGAACATTTTAATTATCATTTATGATACCTGATATTTGATTGTTCTATGGCAATTGTCAGGTGCTTGATATATATCAATAGAACAGTGTATATATACTAATGTTTTATTGCTATATGGCCAACATCCATGAGTTGGATGAAACTGTTGAATGTAGTTTACAGTTAACATATTGATAGGGTACATGGGGCCATACAAGATTGTTGGGTGGAAAACATATTCCAGACAGTGCTTTAGAATTTATTTTCAGAAAAGTGCTTTTGGAGTGTGGGGAAATAAATGTTGCGCTTGTCATTAAAGTGTTTAAATCAGCCTCGTGTTTACCTAGGACCACTTGGCAACCACAAGGGCAGCTGAAAGCTACTGCTACTCTCAAGAGTTGTAGGCAAATGTTATATTCAGACTACCATGCACTTCAAAGCATCTTTTCAAATTATTTGCATAATCATGTATATCAGGGTAATGCAACAGCATTGTGTGTTAAAACTCATGCCAGTTTCTCTTAATAGTAATTAAATTCATTTAGCTGGAATAAATCCCATTTGCTTTATAGTATTCCAAGAAAAGCACATGATCAAGTGTATCAGTCATTTCTAAGTGGACCTAGACAAATAACCTGTAAGTGGCCTCAAACAAGCAATTAACATATGACTGATACTTGATCCTATATATATTTATATACAGTAAACATTCTGTAATGGTGTGCTGAATTTGTGTACAACACTGTACATGCTGGAATTAAAAACTATCTTAAAAATTGGCCTTCTGGGAACAAATGAAAAACATTTCCAAACCACATTAGACAGGTATAATCTAACTGTTCATCCTCTTGTATCTATGGCAGCACACGTCATCACAATGGCAGCACATGATGTATAGGAACTTTTCCCCCTTTGCTAAACCGGGTGTGGGTGTAGCCAGCACTTGACACATCTGGCCCATTGGCTTGGAGTTTGACAGCCCTGATCTATGATATTCTCGCACTTCTGTTCTCTTGACTGTTAATAATTATTTAGTTAATTTATTATTTATTTTAATAAATTGTTTTTCTCGACAGAGATGATTTTTTACAGGTTGGGAAAGGGACCTCTAACAATACTTTGGTACTTCGAACAATGAACGTTGGACTAAGTTTGCTTAAGGTTTGGGATGCGGAACACAATATTGCAGACTATGTCCCTCTTCCTGTCCAACATGCCATCTTCCCTGAGCTCACTAATATTGTTGTAGGTGATGTCATGTGTTTAACCTCCTCACTGGTAAACCAAGATGGTAAGATGATTTTGAATAATAATTGGCATGAACGGAGAATTAAAAAAAGACTAAGTTGTCATTGAAACTTTTTCTGTTTGTATGCAAGGCACGTATTCAAAATTGAACATATTCAAAATTTAACATATATTACAGTTATATTTAATACAATTTGTGTGTGAAAGAAATTGGGAATAGCTTTTATACTTGGTAATGCATCCCTTTATAAATACTAAGGATATTTTGCTGATCCTTTTTTAAATAACCTCTGTAGAATTGATCTAAGAACTGATGAATAGATATGAAAATATGAATGAAAGCTAGACTTAGTATTGCCCAACTGGATTTCTTATTTGGAAGATAATTCTATGCACTCATTGCTCAGTCTGTGGGATCAAATGTGCACTTGCAGCAGCAGTGAGAGAGGATTTGGCCAATTCGGAGCTTTCCCAGAGGGAGATTCAGATCAAGAAAGTATGTAGTCCCAAGCTAGAAGGGATGAGATGGAAAGAGGTTTGGAGAAGCCATATTCTACAATCTCCCAGGAGATATTAAGTTAGAAGTTTTTTGCTTTAGTCTGGCAAAATTCTGTCTAATAGGTGTAAGCAAACAAAGGATTGGACATGACTGGATCTCACTGGCTTATGTCTGGGCTTGAGTCTGAAAGTAGCAGCAGTAGACTGAGCATAGCAGGACAAAGTTGGATCTTCTAAAACATAATGTCAGCTTATCAGAAGAAAAAGTGCTTCTATGTACAAAAATACTGCTTTCAGAAAGATGAATACTATTATGAAAAAAATAAAAAGTACTAACTAACAGGACTAGGAGAGAGCATCTTGATATTATTATAGTGTAGCCATCTTACAAGTTCTCCATTTCCATCAGGTTCTCAAATGTGCTGATATAGCCACATTTTAAGGGATTTCTGGCATAAAAAGGGTCAATCTCTCTTGACTGACATTCCTGAATGATGTTCCAGGGATAGATGCCATGAGAGAAAAGATATTTCTCCTGGGTGTTGCCAGATATAACTCATTAGTAATCGGGACTGGTTCCATACCCGTTCTGCTGGACGTAGGCAGACATAATCAGAAAGAAGCAGTCCCTCAAATAAATATTAAAGCCACACTCATTACGAGCAAAGCAATCTTTTGTTCAGCATGACAGATTTAACATGCTGGCTGAATAAAGCAATGTATTGAAGGTGCTTTTCCTAGGATTCTGGATAATTCCAGTAGGCCAGATGCAGGTTTTTTATAGGCCGTAGCACAATAATAAAGAAATAGGTATGACACAGATCCTGAAGTACTATTCTGTGAATGCTTCAATGCTTCATTGTAGGGATCAGATTACTTATATTCCAAAAGAAAGATTTTTGTAATGTGGTATGTGCATTTGTGAATGCTTATTCAATTTTTTAAGACAATATTCATAATGCTACCACTGAATTTATAAAAGTAGAAAAACAATATATTACAAACATTTTTTTGTTATTAAAAACCTGCATATATCCATGAGAGATACTACTTTTCTGGAAAATAATTAAGTGTTATGATTGGCAGTTGCGGTATGATTATTTTTACAAATACTCTTTTTCATAGGTTTATCAGGAACATGGAGTTCTTCAAACAGTATTCTTCAGATTGATTCAAAAGCCGGAGTAGCTGTAGCAAGGAACTCTGGAAGTGTTATAATATATTATGACCTATCTGGATTGTGTAAGACATATAGGGAGGTAAGTCACTTGTGAAATTCATCATTATTACATTTTTATTTTATTTGGGTTTGTATATTTAGAGTTTTTATGTTATAACTGAAACATTTATGCCAACCCTGTAAGGGGTGGCATAAAATATTTATAATAGCAAATACCTTAAAATTACTTACTATTAGCTCATGCCAAAGAGGTTATAAGTCCTAAAATAAAAAAGAATCATTTATAATCCTAGAATTGCAATGAATTGTTTGAAGAGACATCATCCTTCCTCGTGGAACCTCATGATTTGTAGAAGAACCATTAGTCATAGATTGCCAATGATTTTTGCTGCCACCATGACACAGCAATAAGTCAGAGGAATGGATCATTAATATTAATTTGGGACCAACCAAGAGCCAATGTGAAATCACAAATTGCATCAATCTGTGCAGTCATAATATTCATGGATCAAACAATTGCTGACAACTCTGCAAAGAATGTACCTGGTTTCATGGCATGGATCATCCATCTTTCTGCATCAGCATCTCCTGAAACATCAACCAGCAAAACATAGGTCACTTCTTCTGCATAGAATGAATCATTAGAACTAAATAGGAGATTGAAGCTGAAGCTTTATTGCTTGCCAGCTCAGAACCAGTTGAGGGGCCCTTCATGGGAATGTTTGGTATTATTTGCTGTTTCTTTAGGAGGACTGCTTAAGGCAGAATGACTTGGGTTGAAACCTCAAGGGAAGTGTCTCTTCAAGGAAGAACCACTTTGGAGCCAAAAGATGCAAAGGGCTGAACACCCTAATAGCAGTATTTCAATATTAGTGCAGGGAGAAGAGCTGTTGTTGGGTGGGAACCAGAAATTGCTAGGAGGGGAGTTTAGATCTCACTTTGGCCACCTGATGAAAGATGGACCAACTGGAAGTAGGACTCAAAGTTAGAACTTGGTTGGGACTTCAGGCCAGTGTATTCCTGAATTGAAGTTCTTTGAGTGGAAAAATGCTGTCCTTTTGATCTATTAAAAATTCATGTTGCTATATGGAAGACAGGCAGGGTGGATCTGCCACATGGAATCTAGAGCGGCAATAATAATAGTTTTGAGAAATAGAATATTTAATATTGGCAGGAATATATTAAAGATTAAAAGTTGAAGGCATCCTAATCAGTTTCCAGGGAATGTCTCAGCGCTATAGATAACCGGCATTTCTTCCCATCTAATTTTTCTTAAGCAATCTGGCTGCAGGAGGCATGTGGGGAAATATAGTTGTGATCTACAAGAACAATATCTTAATTCCTGTGACAGAATTGTTTCATACTGAGTGTGTGAATCTGCATCTTGAGACTTAGAGTTGATTGGAAATTCTGTAAATACATTACTAACTCATAAGCGTACCAAAATCCCCGACTAAACTTTCCTATAATTTTTGTTGGAGACTACCTACACTGGGAATTTAATAAATGACTTTGAAGCTGGTTTGTTTGAAATAGTCAGGAAAAATGTGCATTTATCCAAATTACTCAATTTGCTATTTTGTTTTAACTGGTGAGGTACTCTATGAGTGGAAATACCTGAGGTTCTCCATTCTCATGAATGGCTTATCATTCAGTTATGTTTGGATTGATAGTTGCACATCACCTCTTCAGGATAGTGGGCGTGTTAAGAAGATCTACTTGAAATGTTTATTGGATTTAGTTGGAAGCCAAAAGACATTGGAAGCGTTTTGGACTGGTTCCACCAGTTATTAGAGTGATTGACATAATTGTTGTTAAACCTTTTTTACTTGCTTCGAAGTTAGTCCTATTGCACAAAATTCAACAATAGATGAATCAGTAAGAGCCCAGATGAAAAAAGACATGACCATAATCTAGTACAGTAACACAAATCCTGTTACACAAATTCTATTTGAAACACAAAACTATATAGTTCATTACAATTTTTCTTAGATGGTAAATAAAAAATAAAGCTCATGGTTTATAGAGAACAAACTACAGGTACTCCTTGACTTACAACCATTCATTTAATGACCAAAATTCCAATGCCATTGAAAAAAATGACTTATGGTTTTCACAGCATCCCCTGGTCACATGATAAAAAATTCAGGTGCTTGGCAACTATTGCACTGTCCCAGGGTCATGTGATCACTATTTATAACCCTCTCAGACAGCTTCTGACAAGTTAAGTCAATGAAAGAAGTCAGATTTGTTTAACAGTTGACTTGTTCAATGAGTACAATGATCACGTAACAACTTTGGTTAAAAATGTCATAAAATGGGGTGCATCTTTCTTAACAATTGTCTTGCTTACTAATGGGAATGTTGGGCTCAACTGTGATAGTAAATTGAGGATTACTCAACATCACATATCCAACAGTACTGTAGTTATGTTTTTCAAATTCTGATTTTGTGTGCGAGAGAAAGGCATGTTGGGACAGATAGTATAAGAGTTGATACGTTGAATACATCCATAGAGCAAGAGATACTGAAAATTGTAAGAAATTAATGTTTATGCCAATGGTTCTTAAACAGGGATAATTACGCCCCAGGGAGAAACCAGGGATATCCTTGGAGTAGGAATTTGTAATTGCTTGTTTGTGAGCAATTTGTAATTGCTTGTTTGTGAGTCAATGATCCAGTTTGGGACTGCCACGACTGAAATGCTTGGCTAAAACAACAGTCTAAAAGGGGGGAGGTGTTGCTGAGACTAATTCAGACAGTAAGTAATCCAATCCAACAGCAGGAAAAGAGATAATTGAGTCAAAGGGTTTAACAACTACTAGTTTAAGTTATTTCAACATAGCTGAAAAATGAATAGAAGTCAAGAGCATGAGTATAAATTAGAATGTTTTAATATATAAAATACAGTTCGTTTCCTGTAGTGGTTAAGGCACCAGCCTCGAAACCCGGAGATTATGAGGCGCAAGCCAGCTGGGTTACTTTACGCCAGCCACTCTCTCTTAGCCCTAGGAAGAAGGCAATGGCAAACTACTTATGAAAATTATGGCAAGAAAACAGGCAATTGTGTGTGTATGTGCCCATGCATGTGTTGTTTTTGTTGTTAATGTTTTATATGGTAACCATGATTTGTTTGATGCAAATTTTTTCAAAGGTTTAAACTAAATAATAAGGCAGCATGTTTAAATTTATAATATCACTGAGATTAAAGTGAGATACAGGCTAATTCAGAAAATACCCAAGTGGCCAGATTTATGATCCCTAAACTCAAAAGAAAATTAGATCCATCCAAACAATACTGAGCATTATGTGATATTTTTCCCCTTTAGGTGTTAATTAATGAACCTAAAAGGATTGTGGCAACACATGTAAGTGGAATGAAAACAAATCTTCAGGATACTTCAAAAGTTATACTTCAAATTGGAGATAGAAGTAAAAATTTGAAAGGTATATTTATTAAACTTAAGCTTACATTTACAATCAATATTTTATCTATTTTTTAATTATTCTGCATAATGTCTAATGTCTAATGTTTAATTATGGACACCCATTTGAGCAGTCTTTGCCAAACTACTATCTTTCTATGGGTTGAATTTTAGCTTCTAGAAATCCCAGCAAGATGAAAATTTTGGAAATTGAACTTCAACATGTATGGAAGAACTAGAAATAAGAAGTCTATATGATATTTTTATGGACATGTTTTATAGCTCAATGTTAATATACATTTATTCCAACCTTAAATAGCATAACTACCATGTTCATTGTAACCAACTCATTGCCACGAAGAGTCTAATATTGTGCAGAAGTCCCCACTGAATTGTAGTCTATGCAAGGTATATTGAAAAATCTGGTTATAAGTTGAACAAATAGTAAATTAGCTACCTATGTAGGTAGAAATTCTACTTACTTGAACACTTTCCCTTACCAAATAGTAGAGAATATAATTAAAATCATAATTACGTATGTTTTAAACCATGGGCGTCTAACCTTTTGGCTTGCCTGAGTCATACTAAGTGAAGACGACTTGCCTTGATCACATATAAAATATATAACACAGTTACTATACATAAACCACATAATTATATTAAAAGTTTACGATCTTGTGTGACTGTTTAGTAGCTGTCCTGGGCCACAGGTTAGGCATGCCTATTTAATACAGATAAAGTCTAAGTGTATATGCCCTGGCTAAATTCATCCTTGATAATGCTCAAATTATGATTCAATTTGTGATATAAATAATATCTTTTGTGGCATAACTAATACTGAATGATTTATAGGTACGTATATTTTTCAACAGCACATTGCAGAACACTCAGCAGTTTCTGATCTATTGAATGTATTTTCAGAAGAACTAATGTCCCATTACAATTCAATAATAAATGACACAATTTATCTTCTTGACAACCTCTGAAAAACACATTAATGAGACTTCCATAGAATACTCTAACTTCTTGATTACTATGTCTTTATCCAGAGTTTAAATAAAGTGAGATTATATGTCATTCAATATGACCTATCACCTGGCAATGCTTTATACATAATTCATTCTCAACAAATATTGTTATAAAAGTTTTTTTATTAAGTGTTTGAACATAGGAAAGAAAGCTTGTCCATTTAAGTCTTATTGATCTAATCAATGGTACTCTTCAAAAATTCTGAAATCGCTACATGAAATGACTTTTCTTGCTACAGCTTATTCTTGAATAGATTTTTCTTTTATAATTTTTCAATAGTTCATTGTTGATTAGCCATTGGGCACTATAAAAATGCAGAATATAAAAACAAGCTTAATAAGACCATATATAAAAACGAAATGATTTTCTTTTAAAAAAAGAATGAAGAATGCAAATCATATTTCTGTATCATTCATACAATTAGATGCACATATGCAGGTCTGAACTGAACCATTTTATTCAAATAAAGTGCCATATAAGATATGTAGTTTTTAAATTCTGACTGCACACGAAATATGTGGTTTTAATAAAAGGATACCAGTGGGTTGTTTATCTAATGTGCAATCTACAAGACTGATCTCTTTCTTACATAATTGACATTCAAATAATATGTGTGCTATGCCTACTTTCTGTGGAACTATGTAATTTGTCAATTCTATTATTCAATTTTTCTTAGGAGAATGCTCAAGTGCCCAAAATGAAGTAATTGAAAAAATGAAACCCCAGTCTATGGTCAACTGTCAGCTTAATTTCAACAACAATGTTTTTGATTTCCAAGCTTCTGAAATTGTTGCAGCTGAACCCATGTTTGATACAGCTTTAGGTAAGATAAAAGGGAAAAACTGTAGTAAGAATACAACTATGAATTCTAATGGTAGTCATCAGATTGAGAATCTTATGAGAAAAGAAAGACAATATTCAGAGTTTGCTACATTGTTTGTTTCCAGTTGAGTATAATGGGCAATGCTTACTCATAGAACTGTCTTTCGGGAATTTGCCTAATCTTTTAAACTAGCAAAATTGGTGCAGCAACTTGTAACCCGTCATATGGATGTGGCATATTAAAAATCTTTAAAAGGTTGTAAACCTTGAAAACACTTTCCGCTTAATTGAACTTATTTCTCAATTCTGCATAAAATAAAGATTTGTCACAAAAAATCAGTTCTGTGGACAATTTGCATTCTTTCCAGCAAAATTGCTTCAACTTTCCTATACATAGCCATGTAAATGGTTATTCATTGGTGCTGGCTTTGTAAATTACTACGATGTTTCTTATAAGAGAAATTCATGGTAGACTTTATGTGTTAAGAATCTCAGAATCACTCTTGGATTCCTGATACATGTCTTATGCTATTTCTCCTGTTAATTTAATAAAAGGTCATTAATTGAGAGCAAAAAATAATTCAAACAGTAAGTAATAAAATAATTATGAGCAGCCTGCAGAAATAAAGATAGAAAATGCTAGACCAGTTGGCCTATAATCAAGGCAGTATTGGAATTGGTATCAAGACTAATAAGTAATCTTGACAAACATCAATTTCTCCCATTATTGCTCAAAGTAAATTTTTAAAAAATTGCATGTTAAAAAAATATTTCAATGAAATTTAAAAGAATGGATATTGTCCCTTTTGTTATCTGCAGCAGAACCCTAAGAAGCCACAGGTGCCAACATTGTGACAAATAGATCATAATGTTATCAAATTGACATTATGTACTTTTATCATGATTCTGATGTAACTATGTAAGTCACATCATTTGTCACCTTCCTCTTCCTCCCACTGTGAATGCATAGGGTTATCTAGCAATTATACTGTAAATATAATATTGTTTGTGGTGCCTTCCTACCGATGCTGTCCAATCATCATTAAAATTGCCACTTACCTCTAAGTGACCAGGCTTAGCCTTAGCATGAAGAATATTCAGCAATAAAAAAATATACAAAATGAGAAGGTAGAAGGATGTTAACATTCAGATTGGTCTTCTTTTATAAGGACAGTATACTTGTTCCATCAGAGTGCTCAGACTAGCTGACAAGCAGCTAAAACAACTCACCATGAGCAAAACTGGCATCACCATCACACCTTCTCTCCAAGGCAGCCATTCCTTAGAGCAAATTAGCATTGAAGTGCCATTTAATCCAGGATTCTATGCTAATCAAACTGAATTTATCCTAACTAATCATTACACAAGTTCTGACGTAAAGATCTTTGGAGCTGCTGAAGTTCTTAAACATCTTGAAGTGAGTTTCAACACAATTTCTCCTTTAACTTTTGTGAAGTAGGCTTGTGTTTTTTTTAAACTTTTGTTTGTACTTTTCCTATTTACATCAATATGTTTGTTGGTTTGTGAATTATTTTTTATTTAAATACTAATCACCTAGCAGTCTCTAGAGTCAGAATCTCTAGAGCTGGGTAAGATATAAATGGTAGTAAATTGATTAAATAAAGCATATGAATATTTTAGCTGTGATGAAAAATTTAAAGCAAATGGGATTTTGGCCACGGATAGAAACCAGCCTTTAAAAAGTAATAATTTATTCATATTGCCTGCCTTTGAACAAAAAGTAAAACTAAATTTGCCAATTCTTTGAGGTGTATTCTATTCATCTAGAGATGCCACTAAAGATCAAAACATTCATTAAATAATTTGGTTTCTGGCTTTCATCTCATTATTTAATATTTCACTATAAGTGTAGTTTGTGTGTTGAATCTATTATATGGTGCCTCTGTTATTGTATTATGATTATTTTAATTCTTTTCCACTTGATATATACAGAGGTGCTATTAGATCATTTTTGTTGTTGTTAACCATCCATAATTCAAATGTAAGATGATTACCGACATAAATTTTCTATATTAATAAAAAAGTAAATGCCTTCTCTTTTAATTTAATGTGATTTGATTATTCCAGGCCATCTAACACAGATTTACTGTTTAAAAGCTTTGAAAATAAAAGACAAAATTCAACTTTATATGTGTAATTAATTAATTGTCACTCGCAGTTTAGTTATCCCAGGTAAATGATCAATTAATATTCAATAATGAACTTTTGCTTAAAGGAAAAATGGCATCATACCAAAATGTAAAACTCCATTTAAAATTATCAAATTGAGGCAATTTGCAAATAAATCAGAAAATAAATGACATATTTGATTGAACATATTCTTTGAAATAGTGTGTCATATATGAATTTAGGGGAAACTATGCTTTTGGTAAATGATACCAAATATTTATCTTACAGGTGAGATCCAGCTCACCTCTGGTGGTAGTTTTTGAGAAAGAGAGATTCTATGGCTTGCCTAGTTATGTAACCTACACCGTGAGTTTATCAGACCCAGAAATTGCAAGTAAAACAAATTTAAATACTGTACTTACTATATCCAGCACAATGACGGAGCAGTCTCTCGCTATCCCTGTGACAATTACTTATGTGTCTGACAGAACTCTGCCAATGAAATGTAAGTTCCTATTCCTCTAAAATATTCATGTAATTTTACTAGTAACCTGTTGTTGACATAGATATATTATTATTACTGAATGATTTTTCAATATGTCCACTATTTCAGATGTTTGTTTTTTTAATAGTACTGAGTTTTCACAAGAAAATTCTGAACATGGTTTGAAAATGTAGGATTAGATTGGATTGGATCAAATTAGATAAAAATGTATGAGAAAAAGTAATAAATTAAAGCAAAAATGTACACCTAGAGTACAATTTAAAGACTAAAATCAACATTTCCTCCTTTTTTATTCTTCAGATAATACAAGTTTATTCCAACACTTTCTTGATTCCTATCAAGTTATCTTTTTTACGGCTTTTGCACTTTTGGCTGGATTGGCTGTTATGATCATAGGTAAGAATATCAATTGAAATATGAACTATTTACTCTCAGATTAAAAAATAAATAGTAATTTTAAATAGAACCAAGTTTATATATTTGTTCCATTATGTATTTTAGTGCACTATACTCTTTTCTCGCCAAATGAACAGCAAATACATCCAGCTTTTATCACAAAGACGAGTCCTCAAAGACCACGTAAGCATAATATTCATTAAACTTTTTTCTACAAGGAACATGGTAATTAATAATATTGCACCTAAAGTTGGAGTTTTACTTTACAAGATAATTGAATTTAAGAAACTACATTATCGTCATGTACAGATTTAACCTGAGTTGATGATAACATTAAATTGGTATAAAGAAAAGAGAAAAACAAATGAGAGCCAAATGGGGACTTAAAACCTCTTTACTTGTAAATGGTAGAGATTTCATGTAAAGACAGTAAGCACAGGATGAAAAGAGTTGTACTGCTTATTATTGTTATTTAAACTGATTTTGTTATAGATATTATTATAATTGTTATTATTATAATAACAAAACACAGCACTCCAGATTAAAAAGCAGCCATAACAATCAGAAAGCATAACTGTGGTTCCACCAACACTCCAAACCGAGGCCTGGGAACAGATCCACCTTTTAAGGGCCTTCTGAATATTCAGGAGAATGGACATCATACCTATCTCTGGAGAGATGCTGAAATAAGATAGAAAAATATCAAAATATCACACAGAGATACATGTATACCAAGAGCATTGCCTACTGTGGGCTCCCACTTTGTCATCCTTCCTGAGTGGTTGTTTGCTTCTATTTGCCTGAAGGCCTAAATGGATAATATCAATGCCACATTTGAACATTAGCTTTATCTGTCTGCTTCACTTTGGGAAGAGTAAACGCTGTGGATGTTCCACTCCAGATAAGCCATTGGCCCTTGATAAATGCTGTTTGCTGCGAACAGATCTTGGGTACAGGGGTCACCTTGTGGAGGACAATTCTTAGCACAAAATCATTAAATTGTTCAAGTTCAGACATTAAACGTGCTCTGGGTTAGACCTTCCACATCTGCATTTTCTTCTAATTAAAAACAAATGTTGTTTGCAGTTTAGTGTAAAGTTTGGTGGGTGTTTATCCATGGACTGTAGTGATACGGTTTTTCCGTATATCTACATTTTAATTGTTCTGAACCAGATATCACAGTCAGTTATGTAGAGCATTTTTGATGCACACTCATAATTCTGCTTATTTACAGATATCGGAACCCCTGTTAGTCCTACAACTTCCTTCAGCCCTATATGTTCAAGTCAACAAAAGAGTTCTCCCAACAGATTATGGAGTCCTCCATATTCTTCACAATGAAAATCTTTCTGACAAAAACAATGTTTTAATTTTAAGTAATGTGGACATTTGAACCATAACATGTAATGCCTTGGTTTATAAAATTTTCTTTAGATTCATGATAACCTTAAGGGGAAGAAAATTCAGTCAGTACCTATGTTGAGCCACTCTGCTTATCTGCTTCAGTTAATTTCGACTAGAATTTAAAATTGCTGTACATGCGTGGTGGCATCTGTGTGGAAAATATGATTTTATGATTTTATAAGAAGGCTTGATATCAGAGACATAATGAAAGGGTAAACCCCAACATAAAAAAAGAAGAAAAATGTTAGTTTGAATTCAGATTATATTATTTTATTTTTTGAGGCTCAGGGATGAAATGTTCTGCACTGATACCTTTTTTGCACTATTTAGTATTAGCATTTGAAGTTGCTGGCTTTAGGAAGTAGTTTTGCTTTAATAGCTATGTTACCTATTTATATAGGTAACAAAAGAAGGGTAGGTAGGTATTTAGATAGGGACTGTGTGTATGTGTGTATGTGTGTGAAGAGAGAGGGGTGATTTTTTTTAATTTCTCATAAAATTATTAATATAGTTTCAATCAGGTGATACTGCATAATCTTTTGTTATCCTTTATTATACCAAACTGCATTTTTTTAAAAAGTTATTTTAATCATTTTTCCCTAAAAATATTGTTAGCCTAACAAAGAGAAGATTGCATTTTATGTGTTTTAGTAGTGTTAAATACCTCAGCAGGCTTTCCATATGCAACTGGTGACTTATAAACATTACTTGGATCAGGGAACTTTTTCTTTGCACTACTGAGTTAATGTGAATGCTACCTTTTCTACTGAAATCAGAGTTATTGCTCATTTCAGAAAGGAGTTTAGCACGTGTATAGATATCCTGATGACCTAGATAGCTGGTACAATTAATACTAAGCAAACTAATTTTACTCAACAATAGGAATTTTATTAGGTCTCAAATCTGAACATGTATGGGTAACTCAGACAAAATTTGCTTTTCAGAAGCCAACCGTCTGAAGTATAAACATTATTTTTATAAGACTTTTTTCTCAGCTACTATTGTTCAGTTCGTTTTCTTTTTGCATATTTCCATCCATGGGCTGCAGCAATGCTGACAGTTAAAGTAGTAAAGAATTTCAAAATTCAGTACCAGCCAAGTAAAAAATGTGACTTATAAAACTATGTTCCACAGAGGCTTGTTTTTTCTAGAATTCCCCCAAAGCAAAGAAAAAAGAAAAGACGAACCAACACATCACCACTCTATAGGGCCAAAGAGTGGGTCACTGCAAATATTAACCTACTAGAAAACAATATTGCCTATGAAGTACAAAGAACCCCTTTTTCATAGCTGTCACATTACAATTATATGATTACAACTGAAAAACTATTCCAAGTGAATATTCTAAACATATTTATTTGTATTATAAAACACAACCTGTTATCATGGGATTTTTTTTGCATTATTTAGCATAAGATTCTGAAAAAGTATTGTGGAATAATCTTGGATAGGTTCAAAAAAGGATGGCAAAGCTGGTCATCTACCTGGTACTCACATCAGACCAAAAGCATGTGTGTGGTGATGGGATAAGTTTTCAGCTGTGAGATTATAAGTGAGAAACTCTTTTTAGCAATGAAATGTGGATTGAGCATATGACAAAATGGTGCCAGCTGACCTGGATCTTCCATATCACTTGGTAAGAACTTTCCACCTAGGTGAGCCTGGGTTGCCACTGTACCCCTCCAGTTGGTCATGTTCTCTTATTCTAACACTGTAAGAATTGTGATTTTGAGTCTGCTTAATTGTGAATGTATATATGGACTATATGAACACAGAATTATGAAGACATTTCATAGAAGTTAAAACTTCGATTGTTGATAAAGGTTTTGACTGTGTTTATTATTTAAAAAGATTAGCCATTTTTTCTATATTTCTGACATGTTGCACAAATAAAAAGATGTTTTTAACAAATAAACTGCTTGAAGGTTAGATTATTATGCTTTAATTATTAAATATATTAATACTGGCTTTTATTATAGTAAATTATTCTGTAGGGAAATATGGTTCTTCACATCTTCTAATATATTGTTGTAACACTCTTGCTGATGGGTCCGCTCCATCTTTCCAAATATATTTACATAAATGAAAGTTATCCTAAATAGAAGACTAAATGAGCACAAGAAAAAGACTATGTGGTGTCACTGCTATATTATCTGAAATTCTTGAGGCAGTATTCACATTTTTATAACCCAATACTTCACAGAAAATAAACTGGAGAAGAATAGGAATAGGACAGAACAGGAATAGGAATAGAATAGAATAGTTGGAAAGGACATGGAAGGTCTTTTGGTTCAACCCTCTGCTCAGGCAGGAAACTGTGTACCATTTTAGACAGATGGTTATCTAATCTCTTCTTAAAAACTTCCAGTGTTGGAGCATTCACAACTTCTGGAGACAAGTTGTTCCACTGATTAATCGTTCTGTCAGGAAATTTCTCCTTAATTCTAAGTTGCTTCTCTCCTTGATTAGTTTCCACCTGTTGCTTCTTGTCCTGCCCTCAGGTGCTTTGGAGAACAGCTTGACTCTGTCTTCTTTGTGGCAATCCCTGAGATATTGGAACACTGCTGTCATGCCACGCAGACATAGCAACTACTCTAGGCTTTTTCAAAACCAGTTTGAAGCTGTTCCACAGTTGTCTTTACTTTGCTAGGTATTCTTAAAATACGGTACTGATAAAATGATGTACCAATCACCACTCTTCTAGAGGACCAGAGTACAAAAATGACATCAATCATTGCCTTTTACCCAGACCACTATTTACTTTGTATGAGTGTGTAGGTGCATGGGTATATTTGAATGACCTGTGTTTCCTGGCAACAGTCTCCGATTTGTTGCAGGTTTTTGGCAACATACTTGCCTATGCCTTCTTCCTAGGGCTGAAATAATGTGACTGACCTAAAAGTCAGTTGGCTTTATGCCTAAACAGGGCTAAAGTATCCCAGTTTCTAGCATGCTGTCTAACCATTTCACTAAACTGGCTGTCACTTATGCACTGTATCCTTAAAAATCCAAGCAGATTGGTAGTATGAGATGGAAAGTATAGATACTGTAACTCTAGCTAGAATATTTTTTTTTAAGTAGTATCTTGGCAAAACACATTGGTAATTAAACCTTTTTTCTAAACAGTTCCTCAGTTTGGTGGAGTTCTTCACATAAAGTTGTATCAGCAAACAGATTGTCATGTACAATCCAATAGAAACACAGTATTTCTCAATTGTATAGTATCTTAAAACTTGTCTTCCTGGTCTTCAAGATTTTGGGAAACAAAAGCTGCTTTATCAGGATTCCTGGGGTAAATCTGTACAGTGTTGATTTTGTACGTGTTGTTTGACAAAATGTCTTCATCAGATTTCATTTTTCCTTCGCTATTAGTGAAAGCTGACATGTTGCTGTTCTCAAATCACAATGCACCATATTCACTTATTGGCAGATAATAACCACTTAACTGGTTATTTGGCGTCTATGCACACACACACACATCACAATGTACAGAGTTTTTTTTCTTAGCAAACATACTCTTTCAATTTTGGTGTTTTTAAAATAAATTCAACAAAGAACTGCACATAAGTGCTCTTGAGTTGTGGTCATCTAGAATTCAGGGTAAAATAAGTACCTCTGAAGGATTGTTATAAGCTCTCAAGAAAAAAAAAATACTGATAGAGCACAGCTTACAAGATACAAATTTCTTTTGATATTCTTCAACTACACTCCAAGCATTTTAGTGACCACATAAATACTTGCTTTCTGTGATTTGTCACTTATTTTTCTCCTACGCTTCCCACACAAACCTTACAGCTCATGATGCATGGTTATTAAGAGTTTGTTTCTTTGACATAAATGGTTCTATCTTCAAAGAATGACATTTCACAGATAAAAACAGAAGCATTCTTGTAACATTCTTTCAGGAAGACTTCACGTACACCAAACGTATATTTCAGTATTTAGTTCTTCTGCAATCATTCTCTGATTTGAAAGCCAACTTTGGCAATGATATTACAAAAATATAGTTGAACAATAACTTTACTAGTTAAAAGCATACTCCAAAAGAAGACAGATAACAATCAGAGTTGGAAGGAACCTTGTAGGTCATCTAGTCCAACCCCCCGCCCAAGTAGGAGACCCTACACCACTTCTGACAAATGGCAGTCCAATCTCTTCTTGAAAGTCTCAAGTGATGGCGCTCCCACAATCTCCGAGGGCAAGGTGTTCCATTGGTTGATTGCTCTCACTGTCAGAAAGTTTCTCCTTATGTCCAGGTTAAATCTCTCCTTGTTCAATTTCCACCCATTATTCCTTGTCTGGCCTACAGGCGCTTTAGAAAATAGCCTGACCCATTCCTCTCTGTGGCAGCCCCTCAGATATTGGAAGACCTCTATCATGTCTCCCCTGGTCCTTCTCTTTACTAGGCTAGCCAAGCCCAGTTCCTGCAACTGTTCGTTGTATGTTTTAGCCTCCAGTCCCCTAATCATCCTGGTTGCTCTTCTCTGTACTTTTTCTAGAGTCTCAAAATCTTTTTTATAATGTGGTGAACAAAACTGGTGTGGTCTTACTAAGGCTTTATAGAGTGGTATTAGTACATCCCTTGATCTTGATTGTATCCCTCTGTTAATACAACTTAGGATTGCATTAGCTTTTTTGGCTGCTGCTGCACACTGTTGGCTCATATTTTGCTGGTTGTCCACTAAGACTCCAAGATCCCTCTCACATTGTTGCTTATTGAGCCTGGTTTCACCCAATCTATATGTGTACTTTTGGTTTTTCTTGCCTAAGTGTAGGGCTTTACTTTTCTCTACATTAACTTTCATTTTGTTAGATATGGCCCAGTGTTCTAGTCTGTCAAGATCAATCTGGATCTGGAGTCTTATCTTCTAGAGTTATCTTCTAGGGTTCTTCTACTATTCCTGCCAGCGTAGTATCATCTGCAAATTTGGTAAGTTCCCCTTCTATTTCTTCATCTAAGTTGTTAATGAAGATATTGAAGCGTACTGGGCCTAAGATGGAACCTTGTGGCACCCCACTGCTTACTTCCCTCCATGTAGACTTAGATCCATTAAGGACTACTCATTGAGCTGACCTGAGCAAAATATGCTATGAAACATAAGTTGCCTTCACATGTTAAAAGTGCCTGGGTCACATACAACGGATCTGACCTTTAGTGCAGGCTTCATGCCCGAGGTATTCAACATCAACTTTCATAATCCTCAACATCTGAAGGGTACTAATTCATTGGGAAAGAAAAACCATTTCCTTCCTTATACCTAACCAAAGTTTTATTAAAGTGCAATAAATGGGGTATGAAAATGTTGACATGTATGCAGAATGACTAAATGCATACTTTAGCTGTTCAGTTCCTATAGTATCAGCATAGTGCACCGTCTTTATAGTCTACATGTATGTTTACATAAAAGTAACTCGAAGTAAGTTTGTGATAAGATTACACTGCACACAAACCTCAATTTCCCTAAATATCAATCTTTCTATCTTCAGCTCTGCTAGCACCAGAAACTTTTAAATAACACTGACTTCACAAGCCTCACTTTGTAACAAATTTCATAAATTGCTTAATAACTGCCAGAAGATATTAAGGCCTTCAGAAGGACAAGTCTGAAGATATCAGGTGAAAAAATGTAAAATGAAAAACCTTCAGTCACTAAATGAATGGGTGTATATCAAAGACTACTGTTCCAGAACCTGATTTCATTCTGTATCTTTTTTCAAGAACGTCTTAAGTGTAACACATCTCTTTTTAAAGATGAAAATAAGAAAGTTATCCAAATCACTCTTCATAGTTAAAATCTGCACAAGTCACTCTTCAGATTCAGTATTTATGTATCCCTTTTAGTTAAAACATCAACTGGTTTCGTTTATAAATCCTGTATAACATTTTATTTATTTATTATTTATTTATATCCTTCCTTTATTATTTTTATACATTATCTCAAGGCAGCAAACATACCTAGAACTCATCCCTCCTATTTTTACTGCAAAAAGAACTCTGTAAGGTAGGTTGGACTAAGATATATTGACAGTCCAAGGTGTTTAAGGAAGGATTTTAGCTCATACTCTCCCAGTTTTTAGTTTGTCTTAACATCATTCTTGTATCCTATCAATTTTAAATCCATATCCAAAAGCCTGATTTTAAGTTTATTTTCTCTTTTGAAGCCATATTCATAGGAACAATCTGAAAAAAAAAGTATGTTGTTACCAAATATCTTTGAATTCTTCAAGAGTTAAAATACTTTTCTCCATTCTGTATAAGTGGGTCTTCTTTAAGTTTAATCTTAGTTCTTTCTGGTTGCCTCTAGTAACCAGGCATCAAAATCTCCTTTTATGATGTTTTTCTCTAATCCACATTTTCCCAGGAAAAGGTTTCTTATACTTAATTTAAAAATCTTCATATATATTTTAATAGGATTTAAATAAACCACAAGTAGTCGTCATAATTATTTCATAATCTTGCAACCAGCCAATTTGCCACGTTGGATCATTTTAAAATTTTCTAAAATCAACGTACTAATAATCACCCTTTGGCTGCTTATTTATTTTGTTTTAAAAACAAAAGGTTTCCCTTAAATTCTTAAATTTACATGGAACTTCTTTTTCTGAGAATTGAACAAAAAATCAGTCAGGATAATAAAACCTGCCCTTCTGAAGCTTTTTTAAAATATTCATACAGCAATTTATAAGCCTTTTCAAATGAAAGTGATTAAGAAAGGAAATGGGCAAATCTTGTGGCTCTTTGAAAGCTCTGAACCACTGCTTGGGCAAAGTTGACTCTCCTGACTGCTGGAAACCACTTTTTCACTGTTTTGAAGGAAGCATTATGGGCAATCACGGCTTCTTTCCTTAATCCGGAGAGGACTTCAAGTACCCAATTCATT